TAAATGTTGGAGATGATGTGGGAAAATTGGAACACTAATGCATTGTGGGTGGAGTTGTGAAATGATCCAACCACTTTGGAGAGCAATTTGGAATTATGCCCAAAGGGCTATCACACTGTGCATACCCTTTAATCCAGCAATACCACTACTAGGTCTGTATCCCAAAGAGATCATAAAAATGGGAAAAGGACAAACATGTACAAAAATCTTTATAGCAGCTCTTTCTGTGATGGCAAAGAATTGAACATTGAGAAGATGCCTATCAATTGGGGAATGGCTGAACAAGTTGTGGTATGTGAATGTAATGGCATACTATTGTGCTATAAGAAATGAACAGGCTGACTTCAGAAAAACCTGGGAAGACTTGTATGGTCTGATGCTAAGTGAAGTGAACAGAACCAGAAGACTGTTGCACACAGTAGCAGCCATATTGTGCAATGACCAATTTTGATAGACTTAGCTCTTCTCAGCAATACAATGATCCAAGACAATTCCAAAAGACTCATGATGGAAAACACTATCCACATTCAGAGAAAGAACTATGGAGTCTGAATGCAGACTGAAGCATACTGTTTTTCCTCTTCTTTTTTGTTTTTGTTTTTTCTTTATTGTGGTTTTTCCCTTTAGTTCTAATTATTCTTTACAACATGACTAATATGGACATATGTTTAATATGAATGTACATCTAGAGCCTATATCAGATTGCATGCTGTCTTGGGGAAGGGGAAGGAGGGGGAGAAAATTTAAACCTCAAAATTTTGTAAAGGTGAGTGTTGAAAACTAAAAAAAAATAATATAATATAAGCTCCTTGAGGGCTTATATACATATACATATATATATATATATATATATATTATATCCTCGGCTCTTAGTTCAGTAATAATAATTAATAGTAGTAATAACAACTAGCATTTGTATAGCACTTTAAAGTTTGCAAAGCACTTTATAAATTCCTTATCCTCATAAAAATACTGGGAGATAGGTGCTAATATTATACCCATTTTACAGTTGAGAACACTGAGATAGACAGTCAAGTGATTACTTCAATAATATAAAAGGGAAAAAATAAGATAACGGTCTTCCATAAATGCTTCATGTGGTCCTGCTTACACACCTGTGTTCATGCTCAGTTGTATTTCCAGTATACTCTACACCGCAGTTCTCTGTGGTCTTTCTACTCCCATTCTTTTGCTCCTCTGTCTTTGTATACCTCCCAGCTGTCTCCTGTATGAAGCCGTCCCTGACCTCACCCTTCCCCTCCCCCCCCCGTAAGTCCACAGCTGGAAGACAGCTTGGAGACCATTTAGTCCCACCCCTCATTTTACAGAGGAGGAAACCAAGGCCCTGAGAGGTCAAGTATCTTGCCCAGTGTCACAGTAAGCACCAGAGGAAGGGTTTGTACACAGGTTCTCTGCCACCACACCTTCCTCACATGGGCCTTGATGAAGGATTTGTTATATATGTGGTTATGCTTTTAAGTAGAACCCTGGAGCTGCTGATGGGCACATCTGGGTCACCTCCTCCAGTACATTGTGGCTAGTGATCCAGACAGCATTGCCTCGTGGTTAGAGTGTGGGCTTTGAGCTTGGAAATCCTGGGTACAAATGCCACCTCTGATACTTACCAGCTGCATCACTATGGGGAGATCCCTTAACCTCAATTTCCTTTTCTGTAAAATGGAAATTGTAAAAGTAACTCTATCACCTCACAGGGTTATTTTGAGGATTAAGTGGGATGTAAAGCATTTTACTAACCTTAAAGTGAGATACAAATGTCAATTATTGTTTGTTTTTGTTTTTTGCTTTTTGGTGAAGCAGTCGGGGTTAAGTGACTTGCCCACGGTCAAGTGTTAAGTGTCTGAGGCTGGATTTGAACTCAGGTCCTCCTGACTTCAAGGCCCAATTATTGTTTTATTTCATCCTTGTGTCCTGCACCATTACAGTGGAAGCTGAAGGGAAAGTGCTGACCTGCACTGATAGTTTCCTCACCTGGGAGTTCCCTAAACAAATGAAACCCCAGTTCCAGGCCCCCCTCTCTGTCTTGCCAGGCCCATTGCTCTAGCCTGGTAGGTAGTAGGCACATGGTAAACACTTTGTGTATGTAACCGGGAGAGCATTTGGTACTGTAGTGTCCTTGAATAATAGAAGCAATGATTTGGGGGAGGGCGTAGGGTCCCATTAGTGCTACATCACTAGTCAAATGACTGCAACAGGGGACTTCAGGATATAAAAGCGGAGCAGATGTTCGGGTCTGGAAGACCCGAGGACCCAGAGGAGGGCAGACACGAAGGCCCAGTAGTCATCCATCTCACTGGAAGGGAGGGCGTTGGTGACTCCAATCTCATCCAAGCTGTGTGAGCAGTCAAAGCAACTTGGATAGGTTTGGGGCAGCCATCACTGGAGAGGAGGTATGGGAGGAAAGCCAAGAAGAGAGTACCTCTGGAAGGTTTTCCTGCCACCAGGCCATGCCAGATAGGTTCTGGGGCAGAGGAATATTAGGACATTGCAATAGTCCAGGCAAGAGGGTCTGAACTGGGCTGGGAGTGGTGTAAATAGAGTGGAGTCAGATAAAAGGTAGCGTGGAGATAGAGATGGCAAGCTGCCTGGGTGTGTTGGGTAAGGGATGATGAAGGGCCGAGGGTAACGTTGAAGCGATAAACCTGGGAGGATGGTTGTGTCTTTGATGTGGAAGTTCAACAGAGGTTAACATTTTGGGAGAAAGACAATGAGAAGATGCTTAGCCTAAGCAAGGAGGAGGGCCTTCTTCATAGACTAGAGCAAATTAAGAGAAAGTGGAAAATGATGTTTTGAGGAGAGCTGACATACACAATGGGGAAGAAGAGAGTGCTCACAATGGCTGGTCTTTCTTTTCTTCATGAAGTATGAGGCAAAGTCCTCTCCTCAGAGAGAGGCAGAGGTGACAGCATAATAGATCAGGGGGGATCGAGGGCCCTTGAGGTCCTCAAGTATGGCCCTTTGACTGAATTCAAACTTCACAGAACAAATGCCCTTAATAAAAGGATTTGTTCTGTAAAACTTGGACTCGGTCAAAAGGTCTCACCCAAGGACCTCGAGGGCCACATGTGCCCTCGAGGCAGCAGGTTCCCCACCCCTGGTATAGATGCCAGTGAAGAGAAGAGGTTTAGAAAAGGTGCTATGTAAAGTGATCGTCATTCAGGGAAGAAGGAAAACAATTATCATGCAGTCATCAAGGTCAAGTTGATATTAGTTAACAAATTTGTGATAGATGTGGTGGGGACCTGGCACCTGTGTGACCTTGTTTAGCAGTCCTGAGCAGCACTTTGGCAGGGGCTAAGAAGGTGGAGGCTAGACGTCCTCAAAGGTGTAAGTTTCAGACCAGTGGGTGGGAACAGGGTAAAGAGGTAATTCTTCATCTTTATGGCAAGGTAAACATTGAAAACTGGATTCAAGTGGGGCCAAAGGAGGGATGATGAGCTTGGAAAGCAAGGAGTGAAATGACTTGAGGTTGTGGTGAGAATTAAGAGCAGGTTTGGGAGGAGTGAGACGTAAGGAAAGATGGAAGACAAGGAGGTGAAGGTGATAGAAAGGAATCTCACGGTTCTGGATTATGAGCATCAAGCCCCATGGATGTTGCCAAGATCAAGGATCAAACATCCCCCTGTGTTGAAGTTCATGAAGGTAAAGGTCATGCACAGTGAGGTATCTGAATGGATAACAACATGCACTTCGAATCCCCCGAGTCTATAGACAGGGGCTGAATCTCTGGACCATCATTCTGGTTAGCTCCAACTTGCTTCTGTCATTTGGTTTCATCTATAGCAGAATACCAAGACTGATTTGAGTCAGGATTTCTACTGTATGTCTGTTAGGTCATAGGACAAAGATCTCACACACAGAGTATCAACAGCTAAACTAATGTCTATAGAAAGCAAGAAGACTGACTTTATTGACATCTTCTGCCACTAGTTAGCACTGCAGATATATAAGGGGGCTGCCCAAGGAGGAGGGCCATTTTGCCATTTTCTTTGTTTTATGGGTTGCTCTGCCTAAGAATTCTAAACCAAGGAATTAGCCTACTAGTCGAGTCTTTCAGTATTTGTCATGGCTGGTCTTCAGAAAATGATCATTCTGCTGCTAGGACCACACTCAGAATCTTTGCAGCATAGAAGAAACTTACCGGAGTTAATGTTCTGTTGGCATGGCCTTCAAGAAGCCAGAGTCCCCTCCATGCCACAAGGAGGCAGTAGAGTAGAACTTTATGGACGAGGCCTCATCTGCCAATCAGAAAGTCTAATGCACATTATTTCGTCAACCAAGATGTAACCTTTTAATAGCAAGAAGAGTTTACAGCAAAGCATGGCGTAATAGTCAGAAAGACCTGGGTACAAGTGAGACCTCCGACGCACACAGACTGTGTGGCCCTGGGCAACTTGCATGCTCTTTCAGCACCCTAGGCAGCTCTCAGACTAGGTCTACAAAGCAGTTGCTGATATGCATTGATCGAAGAAGTTTCTTCACTGGGAATTCCATAGATCAGCAAAATCAAATTCTGATCAAATTATACACACAAATAAATGTGATTATGTGTCTGTTGGAAAACAGACTATTTGTGATGCTGCAGAGTTCCTAAGCCCTTTCAGGTCACAGGACAGGATGTTTCTGCTTTCTGTTCCCAGGGAAAGCCTCTGCTTTGTCACCGAGCCCGCTCCTGGGGCTCCATCTTTCTCATTCTCTGTTTCCCTGGGTCAAAGCTTGGCCTTTAGTGTCCCCTTATTGGTAATTGAAGACAGGGGCAAGACTGGAGTCAGATGAACAAATTTTTTCTCTAATTGACTCTGATTCATGCCCTACTAATTCCTGTGTATATACTACAGAGCATCCTTTAGAGTCCTATGTATCCTTTATTGGGCCTTCCTAGTATGTCCTCTTTTTCCCTAAGGAGAAAAAGGCATAGGATTGAATTGGATTATGCTCTCTCTCCTCCTCAGTACTGTCCTATTTCTTTCCTCCATGAACAGGACTCCTTATTTTTCAACCAAATGTGATCTCCCATCTGGAGAAAGGTGAAGCACCATGGACGCCAGAGACAGAATTCCCAAATGGCACCTGCCCAGGTAAGCGAGGGATAACCCTGCAGTCTAGACTCACTTAAAATGATGGATCATCTTGTCAGTCACATGATAGTACCTTTGAAATGTTTACCAGAGAGCTGTCCCCTCAAAGTCCTCCAGGACCAGGAGAAGAGAGTCTACTATGGGTTTTCCAATATACCCTCACATTTCACTTTGTGTCACAAGTGTTTGAAGTCAGAAGATCTGGGTTTGAATCTTAGATCTGTCACTGTATGACTTAGAGCAAGTCTTAACCACACTGGGCCTTAACTTTTCCTCATCTGTCAAATGAGGGGGCCATGCTAAATGACCTCTGATGTCTCTAACTGTATCTTAAATATTGAGATATGATCCTACATGAACAAATCACTATCCTGATATCGTTTTCCCCTTATTTCAACCCAATCTCAGAGAAAGATATGTTCCTTCTTTCTAATGAGAATTCATTTTACCTGATCTCCATATCTGATCATTTTCTACTACCCAATTCTTATTTCATCCTATTCTTAAATCCTAATTGAATTCAGTTTGACAGTTGTTTATTAAATACCAACCATTTGTGAAGTACTATTTTTAATATCTCCCTTTTCACAAATTCCTTTCCTTCTGCTTTCAAGAATCCATAATCAAGAATCCATCCTCTACCATTGTTCTGGGGCAGTGAGGCACAGTGGAAAAGAGGAATTTGGGAGACAAACCCTACAAAGCAGTGGGCAAAAAAGGCTAGAGGGGAGACACTAGAATGAATTCCTAGGAAGCCTTGATTGCATGAAGAATACAGAGAAAAGAGAGACCAGATAATTACAGAGGACATGAATCAGAAAATAAAGATCTAGAGTAGGCAGAAAGAATAAACAGACATGAGAGTTGGTGGTGGTGGGTTTTTTTTTAACCACTTGTTCTTCTCAAACTTATGCTAAGTCGTAGTGAGCACTACTTTCTTTTCTTGGTGTTTCAGAACCATCTACTTTATAGCACAGTGTAAAATTCTGCCAAAAGTCCACATCGAGTTTATAGTCTGTAGCTTGCAGAGAAAATGTTTCCCCTTTCTAAAAACTTAGCCATTTTGCCAATTACCAATAAGGTGGCAGAAGACTAGAAATGTTATATCAGGTTAAAGAGGCAAGAGAGAGAATCAAAGTAAGTGATGATAACCCACTTAGCAGTGGAGATGTAGTCATTTAAGACAATGAAATGATCTGTTCATTTCTCCTTACCTAACTTGGGCTTCAGTTCCCTCTTGGTATCTATTCTATACTTTTTCAGATAAATAATTCTCCTTTATAGAGAAGACAGTCCATAAGTTACTGGATAGTTTCTCTTTCCCCTCCTCCCTTCCCTTCCTTTATCTCAGGGAACTACTAACAATTTTTTTTTTATTTCTTCAGATTCTCTCAATCAGCAGAACAGATGTGAAGTAAGGAGTTAGTACCAAAGCAAGTTGTTTCTATGAGAGTGTCATCTAAGGAAAGGCTTGCAAAGAATAGTTCCTGGGATTGTAAATCAAGAGAAGATTGGGAATGTGATTTCAAGTTACAGCGGCAGAGCAACCAGGAGAGGATATCCAGGAAAATGACCATTGCCTATAGATGTAATATATTTGGGAGAAATTTTAATCTAAGTTTCAACTTTGCTGCCCAACAGAGGACTGTGTCAGGAAAAAGTCTTTATAACTATGGGGAACATGCAAAGAACTCTAAGCAGTATTCAAGCATTCTTAAATATCACAACATCTCATATAAGAAACTTTGCAAATACAGCAAATGTTGGAAGTCCTTCATTTACCACACAGACCTTATTCACTATCATAGAAAACTTATTGGAGAAAAATCATGTGATTATAATGAGTGTGGGGAAGCTGTCAGTACGAGGTCATCCCTCAGAAGATACCAGAGTTCATACTGTAGAGAACCCCTTTGTCTACAATGAGTGTGGGAAAACCTTCATACAGATGACAAAACTTGGCACACATAAGCAAATTCATACTGGAGAAAAACCTTTTGAATGTAACGATTGTGGGAAAGCCTTCAGCTAACCAGCAAGTCTTACTGAACATAAGCAAATTCATCCTGGAGAGAAACCATTTGAATGTAAAGAATGTGGGAAAACCTTTAGACAAAGTTCATCATCTAGGAGGCATCAGATAATTCACACAGGAGAGAAACCCTTTGTGTGTAGTGAATGTGGGAAAGCCTTCAAAGAGAGTGGAAAACTTATTGCACACAAGAGAATTCATACAGGGGAGAGACCCTTTGAATGTATTGAATGTGGGAAAGCCTTCAGCTATAGTTCATCCCTTAATGCTCATGGAAAACTTCATACTGGAGAAAGAAAATATGAATGTAATCAATGTGGGAAATTTTTTATTAAAAGTTCATCACTTAGGAAGCATCAGAAAATTCATAGTGGAGAAAAACCCTTTACATGCAGTGAGTGTGGGAAGTCCTTTATAGAAAAAGGAAGACTTATAGAACATAAAAGAATTCATGCAGGAGGTAAACTTTTAAAATGTAATAAATGTGGAATAACCTTCAGCAATAGCTCATCCCTTAGGGATCATTCAAGACTTCATACTCAAGATAAAAGATGTGAATGTAATGAATGTGGGAAATTCTTCAGCAGAAGCTTGTCACTGAAAAAGCATCAGAGAATTCATACTGGAGAGAAACCCTTTGCATGCAATGTGTGGGAAAGCCTTTATAGAAAGGGGAAGACTTGCTGAACATGAGACAATTCATACTGGAGAGAGATCCTTTCAGTGTAGTGAATGTGGAAAAACCTTCAGTTATATAGCTAGTCTTACTGAACATAAGAGAATTCATACTGGAAAGAAACCATTTGAATGTAATGAATGTGGGAAAGCCTTCATCACAAACTCATCATTTAGGAGGCATCAGGTAATTCATGCTAGAGAGAAACCCTTTGTTTGCAATCAATGTGGGAAAGCCTTCATAGGGAGAGGAAGACTTACTGAACATAATCAAATTCATACAGGAGAAAAACCCTTTGAATGTAATCAGTGTGGGAAGCCCTTCAACAACAATTCATCCCTTAGGATTCATTGCAGACTTCATACCAGAAAAAACTGTATGAATGTAATGAATGTGGAAAATCCTTCAGCAAAAGCTCATCACTTAGAAAGCATCAGAAAATTCATACAGGAGAGAAACCCTTTGTGTGCAATGAGTGTGGGAAAGCCTTCATTGAGAAAGGAAGACTTACTGAACATAAGAGAATTCATACTGGAGAGACACCCTTTGTTTGTAATGAGTGTGGAAAAGCATTCAGAGACAAGGGTAACCTCTCTACACATAAAAGAATTCATACAGGAGAGAAACCCTTTGACTGTAATGAATGTGGAAAAAGCATTCAGCAACAGCTCATCCCTTAGACATCATAGGTAATGTCATACTAAATAATAGCAGACATTTATAATGTCTATATAAATATGTAATTGCTTTATCATTTGAAAAGCAAATTACATATATTTCTCATCATGTAGAAATAACACCAATGAATGTGATGAAGGTAGAAAAATCTTGTCTTATGAACCATTAGAGAATTTGTTAGAATCTACAAAAAGGTAATAAAGTGTAAAGGTCTTTAGCAGAAACTATTCACATAGCAACTGTGAGATAATTCATATATATGAGAGAAACATTTTGTATGCAATGAGCATAAGAAAACAATTATAAAAGAAGTAAACATTAATGCCCTGAGAAAATTAATTCTAGACTGAATTCTTTTGAATGTAATTAATATGGAATAGGCTTCAGTCAACATTTCAACCCTTGGGACTTTTTATAGAAAATCTCATAATAATATTCAGAAGAGTTTTTTTTAAAACATGTGTAAAAGCATGACTCATGTCTTTTGAAACACCAGAGAATTTGTGTTGTAGGAAAACCATGTGGGGATGCTTTCACAAACACTGGATTCCTTAGGAGACATCAGATAACTTACAAAATCAGACTTGGAAGGGCCTTCAAGAGTCATCTAGTCCAGTGGTGCCAAATTCAAATAGAAATGGGGCTCCTAAACAATACGTAAGGATTTCTTCAGGCTGCATATTGACTTAATTTTAAAATGTAGTATTATATATGCTTTATTGTATTTTTATTCATTTTGTTAATTATTTTCCCTATTCCATTTTAATCTGGGTTTGGCCATACTCAAGAGTGTTGTGGACTGCAGATAGCCTGCAGGCCATGTTTTACACTTCTGATTTAGTTCAGTCTGTACCTAAACAAGAATCTGCAAAGTGGTTGCCTTTTCTTGAAGACCTCTGGTGAGGGGAAGCCCATTCCTTCTTGAAGCAGCATGTTTCACTTTTGGAGAACTGTAATTATGACATTTTTCCTTACACTTTGAAGCTTGCATCTACCTGTTGTTCCTAATTCTTTCTGAGGCCAAAGAAAGATTAATTTCTCTTCCACATGCCAGCCTTTCAAGTACTTAAAAATAGCTCTGTTTTCTTTTCTCAGTCTTCTCCAGCTAACTCAAAGGGGAAAGCCTTCAGCTATAATGGATACCTTCCTAAACATAAAATAATTTATACATGATGGAAGTCCCTTAAATGTAACGAAAGTAGGAAATTCTTTATTAATAGGGGTCATTTTTTGTAAATGTAAGAGATTCATACTGAAGACAAATTATTTGAATGTATTGAATGTTGGAAATCTTTCAGAAACAACTTATGCCTTATTCTATATCAGAAAATGTATACTGAAGAGAAACACTATAAATGTTAAAAAAAAAAAAACCTTTCAGAGGTAATTTATTTATCACTTGTCAGACATGAAACTCATGGAAAGAATGTTGGATTTGGAATCAGAGAACCTTAATACCTGTGTAACCTTGGGCAAGTCTCTTAACACCTCTGGACATCAATTTCCTTACCTGTAAAATCAGGATTTGGGATATGATAATCTTCAAGGTTTCATGTAGCTTTAAATACATCTGTGATCCTATGCAAGAGATTAACTGTCAAGATGTAATAATATGGAGAACAAAAATTTTGACTTGTCATTTGTTAAATACTGGACCACCAAGATGTCAATTTATCTGACATATTGTCTGTTGGTTTGCAAAATAAAAATGACCTTGATTCCAGCTCCAACATTTTATAATCCTATTGATTTTTATAAAAATATCTTTTTTTTTCTTCCTTCTCAGTTCAATTATTTTCTTTGGATATATTCAGTAGTGGGATTATTGGAGCCAAGTATATGATCAGTTTTATGCTTCTACTGTCAGAAATGTTTCAGCCCATTAGACTTTTCAGTATTGTTTCACTATTTCTTCATAGCCCAACTAATTTTGAATTTGAACATTGTTATTCATTTGGGATGCTTAAATGGGTGAGTTGGTATCTCACAGGTATTATTTTTTTACCCTTTTTATTACTGGCGCTGAAGTTTTCTGAGGTCTCAGCTCAGTTGCTCAGATACTAACCTTTGGTGGAGAGGGACCAATCCTAGGAGAAAAGGAACTCTGTGACTCTCAGGCAAGGAGTAGAACCTCAGCACAGTCATTCTGATCCTGGTCCCTGGATAAAGACTCATCTGTAATTAAAAAACCAAGCATGGAGAAAAGCCTCAGCACAATTACTCTGATCTCCAGGAATGAGCAAACAAAAAAAGTTTTATGATGTTAGGGATACCCATGACATGAGAAAGAGAACAACTTCAAAACTCGTATCAGTAAAGGCTCAGAGAAAAACACAACTCACGCACAAGATCAATTAGAATTCCTAGAAAAACAATATGCAAGAGCTAAAAAAAAAAAGTTTAAAATGGCATAAATCAAATGAAAGCAATAGAAAAAAAGAATTAGAAAGGAAAAAGAGCTATGGAGACTTAGAGAATTGATAGCTTAGCACAAGATATACAATATCTTATACAAGCAAAAGACACTCTAAAAATTAGAATGGAAGTTAATGACTCCATGAGACAACAAGAAATACTAAAACAAAGTCAAAAGATTGAAACAAAATTAAAGAAAATGTATGATACCTCATATAAAAAAATTTACCTGAAAACAAATCAAGGAAAAATACTTTAAGAATAACTGGACTGCTTGGAAACCAGGTCCATAAAACAGTGAGAGAGAGTGTGTATAAAGAAATCATGAAGGGAAACTGCCCAGATAAAACTAGAACAAGTGGCAAAGTTAAAAATAGAATTCACTGAAAGAAACCTCAAAAAGAAACAGAAGCTGAAATAAAAAAAAGCAGGGCTAACATTTATGATTTCAACAGGCTATAGCAAAAATAGACAATTAAAAAAAGATAAAGAGGGAAATTACATTTTGCTGAAAGATAGCATAGACAGTGCTATTTCAATAGTTAACATACATGCACCAAATGGCATAGTATCTTGATACTTGAAGGAAAAGCTAAATGAATTACAGGGAGAAATAGTAAAATTATAATATTGGGAGGACCTTTCAGAGCTAGGAAAATCTAAACAAAAAAATGAAAAAGATCTGAATGGATTTTTAAAAAATGAGTTAAATATGGTAGACATTTAATTATTACTGTGGGAATAGAAAAGATTATATTTCTTTACTGTGTATGGCACCTTTATAAAAATCAATCTGTATTAAGACATAAAAATTTCACAAATGCAGAAAAGCAATACTATTCAGCATATCCTTTATTTACCACAAATTACATGTGGTAAAGAGCTATTTTTAAATGGTTTAAAATCAACTGGAAACTAAGTAATAATTTTAAAGAACTGATGGGTCAAAGGACAAATCATAGAAATGATAGATAATTTCATTAAAAATAGTAACAACAGCAAGACAAAATACAAAATACGGGGAAAAGAACACATCAATGAATTTGGCAATATCATTTCTTTTTTTTAAATTTTGAAAACCAATACATTTTAAAACACCAAAATAGAAATCATGAAAATCAAGAGGAACATTTAACAAAATTGAAAGCAGAAAAACTACTAAATTCATAAACAAAACTAGGAACTAAAAAAAAAAACCAACAAATCAGTTATTAGGTAATTTGACTAAAAAGAAGAAAGTAAAAACCAAATCATCAGTATCAAAAATGAAGGAAAAAAATTTCACAAAAAAAGTAGAAGAAATAAAGGGTATTAATAGATGTGACTTTTACTAAGTTGTATGACAATAAAACTGACAACTTAAAATCGATGAATATTTACCAAAGAAATAAAATACTCAGATTAGCATAACAAGAAATGGAGATTTTAAACAACCTGAACAAGCCATGAATGAACTCCCAAAGGAAAATCTCCAGGATCAGATTTATTCACAAGTTAATTCTATCAAACATTCAAAGCTAAATTAATTCTAATATCATATCAACTATTTGCAAAAATATCAAAAATCCTATCAAATTCCTTCCATAATACAAATTATCTTGATATCTAATCCAAAGTGAGTCAAAATAGAGAAAGAAAATAATAGATGATTATCCCTAATGAACATAAATGCAAAAATTTCAAATAAAATATTAGCAAAGAGGCTAAAATATATCACGAAGATTATGTACTATGAGCAGATTGGCTTTACATCAGGAATGTAGAGTTAGTTTAATATTAGGAATACTATAAACATAACTAATCATATTAATAACCAGAACAACAAATCATATGATTAAATCAACGGGCATGGAAAATGTTTTGGACAAAATACAACATCCATTTCAGTTAAAAACACTAGCAAACATAGGAATAAAATGACATTTCATCAACATTACAAATACTATGTAGCTAAAACTAAGAGCCAAAATCACATAAAAGTGAGATAAACTTGAGTCCTTTCCAACAAAATCATGGGAGAAGCAAGGCTGTCCACTATTTCCACTATTTAATACAGAAATGCTAGCTATAGCCATAAGAATAAGAAATTGAAAGAAGGCAAAGAACAAACACCATAATTGCTTCTTGCCAAAAAATGATTGTGTACTTAAAGAGTTAACTAAAAAAACTGAAATAAAAACTTTAGAAGCTCCAGAATATAAAATGAATCCACATATATCATCAAGATGTCTATATACTACCAATAAAACATAGCAGGGAAAGATTTTAAAAAGAGAGATTCCATTCAAAATAATTACAGAAAGCATGAAATTCTTGGAAGTCTACCTACCAGGACAAAAGGAACTATATTAATACAACTATAAGACAATCTATATGGAAATAAAGACAGAAATAATTGGAGAAATATTCCAAAATTGTTCATGGATAAGCTAAGCCAATATAATAATAATAATCTCAACACTACTTAAATTAATCTACTTACTCAATATCACACCAATCAAGTTACCAAAGAATTACTTTACAGAACTAGAAAAAAATAATCATGAAATTCATCTGAAGGAATAAAACATCAAGTTTCTCAAGGGAAATGTTTTAAAAAGACATGGGAAGGAAAGGAGCTTAGCAGTACCAGATCTCAAAATAAAATTTTTTTTTGCTAGTACAAAGTAAGAATCACCAGAACAATTTAGTACTGATTAGAAAAGAGAGATCAATCAGTGGAACAGATTAGGTATACAACATACAGAAACAAATGAATTTAGAAGTCTAGTGTTTGATAAACCCAAGGATCCCATCTATTATAAGGATTCACTATTTGGGGGAAAAAATTGCTGGGAAAACTGAACAGTAGTCTGACAGAAATTATATTTAGACAAATATAACATTATATACCAATGTAAGTTCCAAATGGATAAATGACAGACATAAAAGGACACATCTTTGACAAATTAGAGGAACATGGAAGAAACTATTTTTCAGATCTATGGATAAGAAGAAGGGAATAAGCATTCATAGAGCACTACTATGTACCAGGCACTATGCTAAGTGTTGATTTTGTTTTCTTACAAATATTATTTCATCTGATCCTCATAACAACACTGTGAGGTTTATGCTATTATTATCCCTATTTTGCAGTTGAGGAAACTGAAACAAACAGAGGTTAAGTGACTTGCCCAGAGTCACACAGCCAGTAAATATCTGAAGCCAGATTTAAACTTGGATCTTCCTGACTACAGACCCAGCTCTCTATCACCTGCACTACCAGTTGCCTCAGAAGTTAGGGGATAGGGGAAGAGTTCATGATAAATGAAAGAATATTGAGGATAACAGAAGATAAAATGGACAATTGTGATTACATAACATTTAAAAGGTTTTGCACAAACAAATCTAATGCAGCTAAGATTAGAAGAGAAATACTTAACTGCAGAAATACTCTTTACAACATTCTCTGACGAGGATCTCATTTCCAGCATATATAAGGAACTGACTCAAATTTATAAAATAGAAGTCATTCCCCAACTGATAAATGATCAAAGGATAAGAATGAACAGGTAGTTCTCAAGGGATGAAATTTAAGTCATATTTAGCCATATTTTAAAAAATGCCCCAAGTCACTAATGATTAGACAAATATAAATCAAAGCCACTCTGGGGTTTCACCTCACACTCATCAAAATGGCAAAATTGATCAAAAAAAGGAAAGTGACAAATTTTGGAGGGCCAATGCGAAAACAGAAACATTGTTGGTAGAACTATGAATTGCTACAACTATTCTGGAAAGCAATTTGGAACTGTACCTCCAAACCTACTAAAATGTAGAGATGTCCTTTGAGCCAGAGATATCACTATTAGTTCTATTCATACAAAGAGATGATAGAAAGAAGAAAAGAACCTATATGTGTGAAAATATTACAGCTCTTCATATGGTGGCAAATAACTGAAAACTAAGGTGTCCACCAACTAGGGAATAGCTCAAAAATTATGACATATGAATGTAGTGGAATATGATTGTTACAAGAAATGAAGAATGATAACTTTAGAGAGACCTGGGAAGACCTATAAAATGGCAGAATGAAGTGAGTAGAACCAGGAGAATAATTTATACAATAACATCAATAATTGTAAAAATGAACAATTCTGAAAACCTTGAGAATTCTGACCACCACAATGCTCAACAACTTCCAGATGATCAATAACGGAGAATCCTGCAGCAGACTAACATGCAGAATGACACATACACAGTTTTGGATGTAGCCAATGTGGTCATCTGTTTTGCTTGACTTTACTTATTTGTTACAAATTGTTTTGTTGGGGTTTTTTCCCAATGGCAGAAGAGGGCTGAGTTG